AAAACAACCCACTGTGGCTCTGTCCACTTGTGAGGCCGAGTACATGGCTTTGGCTGCGACCATGCAAGAGTGTATTTACTTACAACAGCTCTTGGAGTGTGTCGATGGTCAAATATATACATGTCATCTATATGAGGACAATCAGGGGGCTATAGCTTTAGCCAAGAATCCTGTGCAGCGACAAAGGTGTCAGCATGTGAATATCAAATACCACTTTGTGAGGTCCACATTAGACACAGGCAGGATTCATTGGATATACTGTCCTACTAATGAAATGGTTGCTGATGTACTCACAAAGCCAGCGACCAAGTTACAAATGGTGAAGTTTGATATGTTTATGTTTGGTGTTTAAAACTTAAATGATGCCTATGTTAAAGGTGTATGGTACTTGTGTTTACTTAAAGTGATAGTCTGTAACTCTGAATGAATTACACATTTTAGGAAATGTGTTAAATTGACCTCCTGGCCTTAAATGTTGATATAAAATAAGTCATTTTATTAATTCTAATATTACGGGCAAGTCCCGCCTTCCCTGCTCTTAGCTATAGTTCAGAATCCACGGTGCCGTCGAGGTTAACCAATCGAGTCCTGCCAAGGGCTGTCAATCATCCGCGCTGAGGTACTTATGTATATTCTGAACATCCATAATCAGATCCTCTGCAGATGTGTCCTGTGATGTGCAATTCATGATAATAGCACTTCCTGGTTGGCCGCGATCGCTTTTTTTGTGCATAAAAACATTATTTTTTTCATTAAAACGTTCACAGATTATTCTGAAAACTTCCGTGCATGTGTATTTATAATTTATATGTATGTGTTCTCTGATTAACATTTCAAAGTGTTACGGAAACGTAGGTGTAGACCTATCAGAAAGGAAGGGGGAGGAGCTTGCGTCGTTTTTTTTCAAATCAAGCACCTCTCCGTCTCTCTGACAAACTCCAGACAATCACTTTAAGAAATGTCAATTCAAAAATGTGATCAAGTGGGAGTGTTGAGATGTGCTCTCATTTTGTTATTTGTTTTCAACGTCATCCCAGTCTGGCGTGACTATATGATTTAAGGATCACCTACACCTGTGACAAGTGTGATTGAATAAATGAATGAAGAAATCAAGTATGTTGCATTGTGTTTTAAGGCTGACACGTTAAACACTGTATAATTCACTCTGCTAACAGCAGTAAAGTGTGGATTTAAAGAAAACCAAAAGATTTAAGAAGAAAAAAAGTTCAGGATGACAAGGGACACTGAAATCCCCACAAAATCCCATATTTCTGAAAGCCTTAGGTTCTCTGTCAGCTGAGGTCAAGCTGTTTTAATTTACATTGAGTTCTATGGGACTTTTTTCTGGGTAGCCCTCTGAATTTAGTCTGCAGTACCACAGCGCCCCCTGTGCCCATGGGTGGGACAGCTGTAAGCTAGTGTAACCGGGTGGTTCAGCTAGTTCTTTTGACATTTCGAACCAAAAACCATAAAAGGACACACAGGTCAGGTGCATTAATAAAAGGCATAATTTCGTTCAACACATTTAATTTAGCAGTCCTTTTTCTTTGTGTACAGGAGAACGAATAATATTTGTTGTTACATTTCACATTTTCATTAAAACAACGGTAAAACAAGGGTAAAAACAAGGGTTCTGAGCCTGCTGCAGCCGCGCTCCAGCAGGCTCAGAACCCGCATTCCCTAGCCACATCCAGGCTACCGAACCGGGGCGATGACGCTCGGTGAGTGGCCATGACGGCTAGTCCACACCATTCCCGGGACGCTGCCAGACCGGGGACACACGCAGGCTTGGAGCTGGGAGCTCAGGAATGACAGGGACGAGGCGACACACAGGCAGGACCAGGAAGCAGGGCAAGCGGCAGACGTGCAGGGCATAGCAGCTTTTATACCAGGCTACCGCCCCCTACTGCCTGGTCAACCAAAGTGCTACAAGCCCACATTGTCACACTAGTAATACCCTATCCAGTTGTTATTATAGATCCATGAGCATGGCACACATGGTCACCATGTACGTGTTAGCTAACATGTGCACAAATGCATCTGTCTATTTCCTGTGGGAGGGGCTGCTCACGGCCATTTTGAAAAGCTCCGGAGACAACAGTAACACATGAGTTTAGACCAGGGGTCGGCAACCCGCGGCTCCGGAGCCGCATGCGGCTCTTGAGTGGCTCCTGGAGTGGCTCCTGGAGCCTTTTCAAAAATGTCTGAAAATGGAGTGTGAGGGCTATATTTTATTTCTAGTTTGAATGTGGTTTCTGTAGGAGGAAAAACAATCTTTACGTTTTTAAATGCTGTAAAAATATGTATAAGTAATATCTAATTTCAACATTTCTGTCAACGTAGTGCGTCATATCCTATGACGCGCGGTCACGCGGCCCCGCCCCATGCGGCCGCTGTTGTAAACAAACCGGCGTGTGTGCATCATAGACTGTAAGTGCACATGGATCCCAAAGCTAAAACGAGAAAGAGTTGATAACAAGACTGGACACTGCATGAAAAGTGTGATTTTCGTCTCTTTTCGGCCCTGTATATTACTGTGAAACTTCTGGGATTCGGCTGTTGACGGTAGTTTGTTGTCCCCCCCTCCCTCCTCCACAGGAGGCTTTAACATGTAAATGGGAATGCTGTGAGCTATACAAATGCTAATCAGGGTTGAGGGGGTGAACAACTTGATCCATGCTGCACAACTACACTTTCAGTCAGTCTGCAGCATGGATCAGGTCAGCACACTGTAGACACACACACACACACACACACACACACACACACACACACACACACACACACACACACACACACACACACACAAATATTTCATCATGATTGATTATAGCTTGTCATGTCAAAATCAATTAAATAAATCCAATAGGACAAAAGACATGTTGAAAGTGTAAGTGCTCATCAAAGGATATATGTATGTACAGTACAGACCAAAAGTTTGGATTTTTTTATTTTTTTTCATGACTATGAACATTGTAGATTTACACTGAAGGCATCAAAACTGAATTAACTCATCTGGAATTATGGTTCAAAGTAGCACCATATATTATATATATATATATATATATATATATATATATATATAATATATATATATATATAATATATATACACATAATATATATATATAATATATATATATATATAATTACACACACAAACGGCTGTTTTAATGCCATAAAACAGCCGGTGTTATCAAAACTTGGGGATTTCACAAAACTTGTTTTGTGAAACTGAGTGCGCATGCGCAAAACGCAACTAAACACATGCTGAAGTCGACTGTGGAGTCTCGTGGAACGTGAAGAGAGGACTCTTGAATGTACGTAAGTAAGTGTTAAGACACGTTGTTCATTTTTATAAAGGTATATAGCTATAGAAGTGTGTTAAGAACGTGTATACATTCGACTATATTATCTTATAAAACTCGTGTGTGTCTGTCCGGCCTCCGGGAGTTTACTGAGGACAGCGGTGAATGTAGCTGTTAGTAGCTAACTTTAGCCGTGTTCAGAGCCATATTCCCGGCCCTAACTACGCGGGCCGCCGCAAGGAAGCTCCGCTGTGATTGCTCCGTGTGTGATAACTTTCTGTAAAGCATGGAACTGCTGCAGGAGCAGGGACGAGGCGCACAGAGCAGACTGCTTCGAAAGAACCGAAGTAAAAGCAGTTTGGGCTCATGGCAGAGCCTGATGTACAGGAGACTGTGGACTAGAGTTCTGTGGAATATCTAACATATATCATTTGTTTTGCACTGTTCCTGTCTTTATTTGAATCTGCTCTCGTAGGTTATTGCATCTGTTCCATTCCTCCTTCACTTGTAAATACTAGTTCATGTTTGTCTCAGATACCACTTTTTGACGCTCGAACGCGCGTTGCCATTGAATGATCCGGTCTGAACGCAGCATTAGATTTGGGTCAAGCGAAACAGGAGAAAATGTGCTTGGTCAGGTACCTCTTACCCCTGCCTCAACAAAGCCTTTTTCACCAGTTCAGCTGAAAATGTTACAATCGAACGCTAAGACTTTCACTTTTATTATTGTACTTTTTCATCTCATTTGTCACTTTTGTCTTTCTGTTCATGTTTTTGTTTTTGTCACTTCAAGCCAGCAATATGGTGAATAAAGTCCATTGCTTGATAATGTTATTGAGTGAATCTAGACCTCCTTTAAACACATTTGAGAAAAAATCATGTGATATTGTTTTATATATATTGATTATTCTTTTTTTGCTTACAGCTTGTTGCAGTCCGACACCCAGAAATTGTCATATGTACTGTATGTAAAAGACCACAGAGGACCACAGTTATGTAAAAGAACCATGAAGGACCACAGTTATGTAAAAGAACCACAGAGGACCACAGTTATATAAAAGAACCATGGAGGACCACAGTTATGTAAAAGAACCATGGAGGACCACAGTTATGTAAAAGAACCACGGAGGACCACAGTTATATAAAAGAACCATGGAGGACCACAGTTATATAAAAGAACCATGAAGGACCACAGTTATGTAAAAGAACCATGGAGGACCACAGTTATATAAAAGAACCATGAAGGACCACAGTTATATAAAAGAACCATGGAGGACCACAGTTATATAAAAGAACCATGAAGGACCACAGTTATATAAAAGAACCATGGAGGACCACAGTTATATAAAAGAACCATGGAGGACCACAGTTATGTAAAAGAACAACAACAACAGTAAAACTTTTAAAAACACTAAGAACATAAACAACAATAAAACATTTACCTATTTACATATTTAGATTTTGAACTTCTTCGGGATTCTCAAGCTGTATTTAGTCTCCCGCAGATCTTTTAAAGTGACCCTTGCCATTTTCATTGGAGAGTACTTCAACTTTATTTTGTTGGCCATTTCTGTAACCTATAAAGAGGAAACCAAAAAATCCGGGTTAGGGTAAATCAGGAAAGATCACAACGTTTGAAGTTATGCTCAAATGAAAAATTTATCACCTTGCTCGGGGATTGCTTCCGTTTTAGGGTTGCCTGTCCAGTCCCCCCGGCATTCCAGAGCAGCCGGCGACGCACTCTCTCCAGATGTTGGGCAGGGCCGACAGCGGAGGAGGAGGAAGGGGCGACGGTGGAGGAGGAGGAAGGGCCGACGGCGGAGGAGGTGGAAGGGCCAGCGGAGGAGGAGGAAGGGCCGACGGTGGAGGAGGAGGAAGGGCTGGCGGAGGAGGAGGAAGGGGCGACGGCGGAGGAGGAGGAAGGGGCGACGGCGGAGGAGGTGGAAGGGCCAGCGGAGGAGGTGGAAGGGCCAGCGGAGGAGGTGGAAGGGCCAGCGGAGGAGGAGGTGGAAGACACAGGAGTGGCCTTGTTCTTGCAGCTTAGTGCTATGAAGCATTGGCGCATCTCCTGTGCCTTCTTTACAGTTTTGTACAGTGCATAAAAGCGTTCCTGTGTCCATACATAAATACATACATACATAACCCATACATAAATTGTGCCACACTCTCCCTGGTGGTCCGGTCCGTGTTTTGTTCGAAGTTCTGGAGAGGAAAAAAGTGCAAAAATGAGAAACCTAGACGATAACAATGGGTACATGATTCTTTTCAACTTACATATGTGGACACCGCCGTCCGTAAGTCAAGAAACCCGGGCTGGCCCTGGAGGCCCATGTCCTGCCACGCCCTCTGCATATAACGGTGCAGGTCCTTCATGACACCTTTTCCGGTGTTCGAGAAAAAAAAAGGATTGCGCGGGACGCACCGATCCCGAACAATAAGCCACCGGAGGCACCATCTGTACTCCTCGGTCGTCACAAATATTTTCTTGTGGCTGGTGTTATGGTTAGTGACCTGCACAAAATTCTGTAATAGACGTTTCACTTCTGGATGGAAATTGAGCTTACGTTTATGAGGTAGCCTGTTTCGGCGTTGCCTTAGGCCTCCTCTACCTCCCTGGCCAGCAGATTGGTATAAACACAAGATCTGTGGCCATATATGGAGGCCAGGTAGGCCGCCAGGTAGCCAAAGAAGTGAAACCGTGGCACAAAGTTGTCCAGAGACGCAACCTCCATCTCATCTGGAGAGACACAATTGATTTACAACCCACTCAAAGTGTCAGGTTAACACATTTTGAAGAAGGATATTACCCAGGAGGGAGGGGATGCGCGTCCTGCACACCTCCATGCAGCGCGTCATGTCCTCCCGGGAAATCAGCCGGTCGAGCTTTTTGGCTTTGACCGCCTGTTGGTGAATAGTCACTCGCCAGCTGAAATCCCGGGCCAGCTTGGCCACCTCATGGTGGAGGAGCCGGACGCGCTGTACGGAGACGCGCATGGTCTTTGGTCTGTACATCATTAAGTATTCAAGGAAGGATTTGGCGTTGGCCAGGAAGACAATGATTGTTGTGGGTTCTTTCCTAAGAGCCTCCAGGACAGATGGGTAGCTGTATAAAAATATTTCAAGGTTAAACATGTATTTTGCTTTCAGAAAAAATGCCTCGACATGTCTTTCATACTCACGCTCTGATCATGGCGAGGTTTTCGAGGAACGTCCAGTCCCAGGCCCGCTGGGACTGGACGTCCCTGGTCATGATTAAAAAAGCAACAAAGCATTTGGCCCTCGTTGCCTGGCTGACCGAATTCTGCTGGACTTTTTCCTTAGCTGTAGCTCTGAAAATATGACCCATATAGTCCTCCATGCTGTCCTCTGCAAGTACAAAGAAGCATTTTGTAAAATTACAAATTACGGATGCTCTTGGGAAAAGCAAAATTGTCAGTGCTCCCCCTCGTCCGGTCCATGAATAATGCCATGATGGCGGGGTGAACAGGCAAAGTGCGTTCCTCCTAAAGATAAAACAAGTTCACAATCTCAGTGGGAAAGGTCAAACTACCTTTGTCACATTTTTACTCACGCTTTGGTCTGCTGCAATGAGGAGAACATTTTGCCGGATGTCCTCAATATCTTCATTTTTTAGTTTACCCTCTGGCTCCTCCTCCCCCTCTGTCCCTCCTCCTCCCCCTCTGGCTCCTCCTCTTTCTCCTCCTCAACAGCAAGCGGCCCTGACGACCGATCTTCCTCCTGGCCCTCCTCCACTTGCAAAGCTGCAAGTCCAAAGAAAGATGATGCAGAAATAAAAGGTAAGTATCAGAATAGGTAGGTGAAGTGTCTTGCCCAAGGACAACAGTAGTGTACACATGAGTGACTGAAAACATGTCTTTATTTACACTGAGGGATGGACGGGGCCGCCTCCTCTTCTTCCTCTTTCTCTCCTTCCACCTCCTCTTCTTCCTCTTCGTCCTCCATCTGCAAGTGTGGTGACCCCGTCTCCCCTACATCCTGCTCCTCATCAGATGTGTCAATCTGCAATGAACAGGACACAAAACTGCAGTTGTAGTAGTAGTCAGGAAATGTAAAAATTGTTAAAGCAATTACTAGGTGAAACTCACAATGATGCTGGATGTTTTGCGTGGCAGCGGCGGCCTCCTCCTCGCCTGGCGGGTTGAGGGTCCCGCCTCTTCCTCCCCAGCGCCACGGAGCTCCGCCACGGAGCTCTGTACAAAGAATTAAGATACACATGTAGAAATATGAAGAGAT